ACTCATTTCAATAATTACTCTATGCTCAATTATTGGCATATTCTATTCCACTGCCTGCTTTATGCCCAAGAAAACATCATGTTGATAATTGAACATCACATCTCACACTTTTGTGGTTTTAGTTGGAACATATGTTGTATACAAATAGGGTACGTTTGGTTGTTGTATTAGAAATTGATGGATTAAATAAAAGAATTCAATCTAATATAATACAAATGGATAAAATACAAAATTAAATAAGGTATTAGAATAATACGTAATTTTATCAAGTATTTGACAAACACAACATAAACGTTAGATAATAGTTATTTAGTCTAACCCATTGTTTGGTTAGAAAATTATTTCATCGTATTAATATTGAATTAATAAAAATATCTTTAATTAATTTTGATAACAATTTGATATTATCAGTTGTGGGGTTATAATAGTAAATGTGAACAATAATATATTTGAATTGAATTATAATATCACTTCTCATGGTGGTATTATAATATCTCTATAATACAGGTCTATCATATAAAAAAATATAATAAGTATACGATTAATACATCTACCAAACGAGCCCATAAAGTATTTACATCATGGATATTTGTTTGCTCATTGATGGTGCAATCAACAATCTCATTAGTCATTTATATCATGCTATTCCTATGCCCCCCCCCCCCAAAAAAAAAAAAGAAGAAGAAGAAGAAGAAGAAAAATATAAGTAGTTTCATACAATATAAATGATCTGGGTCATTGCTGTAATTTATGTTGTATTTTACTATATTATAGATGTTTCTCAGTACATGACCGAGTCACTTGTCATCAAGGGGCCGTTTGTTTTGAGTATTAGAGTAGTATAAGGAGGTGGTATTAGAAAAATGGTACGTGGAACTCATCTTATACGTTGTTTGTTTGACATTTTATAGTCAGTAATATTTTTCGGGTCGTAATACCGACCTGCTATGAACAATAGTCATAATGCCTTGTAGAAAGTCTTAATGAATACCACCTAGGGGTGATATTATATTCTTGGTATAAGTATTATAAACTAAAAAGATCGAAATGCCCTCCGGTATAATTCCCATATAAAAATCTAGTCGCAATTTTTGACTTTTTAAAGATTAAAATTGTATTTTACATTGATTAGCCGCAATTGTTGATTTTTTTAAGTAGGTATTACACAAATAATATTTGTGATAAACAAATAAGGAGAATGATGAGATTATAGTTTAACATCGGATATAATATACTATTGGATTAGAGTGGAATGAATATAAAATCTTATACCACATAAATTTTATCCTCGAAACAAACATGCTCCAAAAGAATACCTGTTGGTGCTATTTATCTAGGATTGCAATAAATTCCATATTTTTTTTTTTGAAAGATAAATAGGGAGAGAGGGGCGACCAGCTGGTAGTGACCCTCCTGAGCGTGATCATTAGAGTCTCCCCCGATGTGCTTGCAGTAAATTCCATATTTATAAGAGCATCTCTACCAACAAAAATTAATTTAGTTACTCAAAAAATAATATTTTTTATCTTCTCTATTCATTTTTTCAATTATCTTCTCTATTCATTTTTTCAATACACATTTTACAGATTTCTATATTTTTAATTACATTTTTTGAATATTATTTCTCATTCTTTTTTGTTAATCTTAAATTACACCCTGAAAAATCGTTTGAATCTCAATTTGCAGCCTCAAATATCAAAATTTTAATTTACACCCTCAAATATATAAATTTGTATTAATGTGCATCTCAAACTAACAACCGTCAATTTGTCATTTAAAATTAAATGGATAAATTACACGTAGATCTCCTCATGTTTGTCACCTAATCTTCTAGACCCCACATTTGAAATATTACGCCTGCATCCTTTTGCTCATTCCTATAATCTGTTTGATAAAATGTCTCTTAGAAAATTTAAATTTGATTTGTACTTGTGTGTTGGTCCATTGCCTTTCTTGTTTGGGCATGACAAGCCGGTTGAGCTTACCCACATTGACTCCAAACATGGCTTTTTTGGTATTTTCTCTGTCTGGTATTGGTCTTCTTGCTTTTCTTGGTTGAGGGTTTCTCTATCATCTGTGAGCTGTTTGAAGTGCTACTGCCACAAAAGGCATGATGTAATAACCAAAATTCATATCAAATTCCAAGACAAATAGCTCAAATTACTACAGATTTCATTTGGGTGGAGAAACAATAAGCACAAACGTTGGTTAAGATATTGATGTCGAAGGAAGATTTGTTCCCTAGCTTACATTCTGAAATCAAACATTATATTCTCATGTTGACATTCAATGTTACCCAATAATCAATAGAAAGACGCAGCACGTGTAAAAATTTCGGTGGTTATACACGTGTTGTATCTACCGAAAAAACAATCAGTAAAGATATGATCAAAACAATGTAAACTATTACACACCAAATACCCCACTCTCTTGTTTTTTTTTTTTGCCTTTTCTACCTCTCTGTTAGCATTACCTTTGTTTTTCTTGAATTGGATATTGAATTACTTGAATTATACAATTTTTTTTGGCTAAAAGACTAGTTTTGACATGCCTACAACGTGTTTGATGAAATGCCCAAAAGCTCTTTAGGCATTGGTGTGTTATAATTTGCATTGTTTTCATCATAACTTTACTGATAGTTTTCCAGTAGACACTTTAACCAGCCCAAGTTCTGTATATCATATGGGGGTATTTGGATGAACTTGTATTGATCTGCAAAAATTCCACTGTCATTGATCTTCAAAAGGAAAATGACAGACCACGTGGCCATGGAGCATTGACTTTTCATCTTTAAACTTATTCATATTTATACTAGTTTCCATATGTTGTTAAACTCACAGCTACGAAGTGGAAAGGAAAACAGATGGAAAATACCATCTGGAAAGTGAAGTCTGACTGCCATAGTTTATATCTTGCGGACAGTGAGGAACCAAAAGTTCTTCAAGAATGAATACAAAGATCCACTTACAATCTAGAAGGCGGTATTTAACATAGTATATTCAAGATTAATGTTCCTCAAATTTAAGGATTCTGGCTCCAATAGACATACAGCCCAGAAATGGATGCATCCCAACTCTTATTTTTATAGTTTGTTTGCTCATAATAACCAGGAAGTTGACCACGACCTTATTTATATAATTTTTGCAGATCAATACAAATTTATCAATACAAACTATGGCCACTGTCATAGCCATAGTTTGTTCATTACTTATATTCCTCCTTCTAAAATTAATTTCATTTGTGTCTCCATGCTCATAAAGTCATATTATTATATGTTGTTTTATGCTTATTTTTGTGGGTGTATATTCATATTTGGGTCCAATTGGAATCTATTATTGAGGCCTCCATGTCATGGTTCAAAGTATTTGACTCGGCCACTCTCAATATGATAATGACACGTGAATCAGAAAAATCATGCATTGAATCAATATCGGCGATATCTCAGTTTAACTCGTACTTCTCGGCCGAAATCAGTAGTACTTAGTGATATCTCGGTTCAATTCGGGTGATTCCTATCGAAATCATTTCGAGACGAACAAGGCAGTGAAAAATTCCCTAAAATCCGAGACAAAGAATAAAAATCCAAGACCCACATTTGTAAAAGCCTAAAAATCACCCGATCATTCTAGAAAATTAAACAAAGTCCAACAAAAAAAAAATGGGAAATAAAGTAAGGAATCAAACACTCACTACCAGTGTACTACTCTCATCAAAAACCTATGTGAAAATTAACCCTAAATTTGTAATTTAGGCCCCTCTTTTTCAACTATAAAAACCAAGAAGACTAAGAATTTACGACATACCTGTAGATCAAACCAAATAGGATCTATATCTTCCTTTTCTGTTTTTCTTTTTCATTTCTTTTTTCTCCTTTTCTGTGACAATCTTCTTCGGTTCTTCTTTCTCCTTTACTGTGACGATAGGCAAAGAATCGCCGATGGTGGTGAGTGGATCTCTCTTTTTGTCGGCGTTGGTTCTCTCTCTTAGTGAGAGAGCGCTGGACTTCTGGATTTCTCTTTGTTTGCCCTTCTCTCTTGTCGCGACTGAGACAGACATAGTCTGAAGCCCATTTTTTTGACTAAGTCTTTAAATATTTATATTTATCTTTAAAATTATATAAAAATAGTAGGTCAATGGGTAGAGTTGCAAGTTATCAATCCGAAAATCATAGTTTCGATTCTTATATCCTCCAAGAAGTCTGTTTTTTTTTTGGGTAAAAAAAGTCTCAATGAACAAATATGAATAATTGATTATGTTTTAGTGTGATTAATTTATTTTTTATGGGTAATTGATTTTTGAGTTTAGCTTTCATCAATTATTAAAATCTTTAATATAATAATTAAATACATTAATATTTTATAATAATAATTAAGAAATTAGTATTTTTTTTAATTCAATATAATGAGTGGATATCTGTTATATTTCAATTTATGTAAAATTAAATGTTACAATTGCATTAGTTTTATATTTAAATTACTTATTTATTGAATAAATATTTCAAGTATTGTTTTTTAATAATCAAAAAAATTATAAGAGAAAAACTAAAACATAAGGAAGAAAAATAGAACTACATCATTTTGGAATTTTTAAATTAATCAATTGCATGTTACTTATTTAATTATTTAAAATTTGTGACATTGTAGAATGGCTCTTAAACAACACAACATTAGTTGAGAACACGCAACATCTATTGGTAGTGATCGAAAATTACAAAATGCAATTATTGTGGAAAAATAGTTCATGGCAGTATTACTCGAATGAAACAACATATTGCACATGTATTCGGTTAGGTGAAGGATGTCCACGTGCACCAAAAGAAGTGTCACAAATCTTGAGACAACATCTCAGAAAGAGCTTCTGTAAATAAGAAAAAAGAATGAATTATACAATTATTATGAGATGAAGATTTTTACAACCTAGATAATGATGGTGAAAATCAAATTGAAGAGGATGGTTTTGAAAGATGACAGTTAAAGTAGGCAATGAAGGAAAGCTGACAAATGGCTTGGATGGGGGAAGAGGATCGTAAGCACTCTGTATCAAATGCAATCAGTCCTTCTAATAAGGGTCATTCTTTTGGTGTTGGATCATCACAACCATATGGTTCAAGAATCAAGTGCGGATCACCACGTAGTTATAATGTAAAAGAAGGTGTCAGCGTGCGTGTAAGTGGCACTGATCCGTACATATTCCCGTCTAAACAAAAGTCAGTAAAAGGCATGTTCTCAGATAAGAATTTGAAAAAAGTGGGAAAAACTATTTCGAAGTTTTTTCTCTTCAATGCTATACAATTTAATACAGTTGATAGTGGGTCTTACTATCAGTCAATGATTGACACTATTGTGGATGCAAGCCCAAGAATAAAGGGTCCCATAGGATATCAAATTGGTAGCTCTTATTTGTAGAATGAGATTCAAGAGCTTGAAGTGTATATATCCTCGATGAAGGTAAAATGACCTCAAAGTGGTTGCACAATCATGTCTGAAGCGTGGAGTTCTAGAACAAAGAAGCTCATTATTAATTTCATGATTTATTACGACCGTAGTATGATTTACCATACTTCAATTAATATCACCAACATTTCAAAAACTATTGACTATATTTTATTTCTTATAAATAAAGTTGTTAATGAAGTTAGAGAAGAAAATGTAGTACGTATAGTAACCGACAATGAGGCAATCTTTCAAGCAGCCGGTAAGATGTTGATGGATAAAAAAAAACATCTATTTTGATTCTCTTGTACAACACATTGTATCAATTTGATGCTAGACGATATTGGTCATATGAAAGCAATCAAGGAGACCATAAATAATGCTAAGACGACCACATCTTTTATCTACAACAGTCTCAAAGTCGTGAACTTAATGAAACAATATACAAGAGACAGATTTATTGAGGTCAGGTATAACACGATTTACCATTGAATTCATCGTCATTGAAAGTCTTATCCATTATAAATTGGACTTGAAAAGAATGTACACTACCGATAAATGACGTGAGTTCAACAAAGACAAGAAAAGGAAAAACAAACAAGAGATATAATCTCAAACCTTATTTTGATTGACCAATTTTGGAAGAAGGCCAGAATAGTTTAATCTGTCATGAAGCCTCTTATTAGGGTCTTAAAGATAGTTGATCAAGACAAAAAATCAACTTTATCAATTGTCTATGAAACAATGGACAGGGCTAAACTAGCCGTACAATATTCGGTGAAAAATTGGAAGAAATATTGAGTCGTGATTGAAAAAAGATGGGAAATTCAATTGCACAGACACTTGCATGCAACAAGTAAAAGTATTTAAAAATATAAATATTTCATTGTGTATTAGCTTGTAAAATATTATAGTATTCCACTAACTTACATTAAATTGTCAAAAACTTTGCTGCTTATTTCTTAAATCCAGTTTTTCAGTATTCAAATCAATTTTTCGACCATCCTAAGGTAAGATTTGGTTTGAAAAAGATTATTAAAAAATTGGAACCAAATTTGAATAAATAAGCAACGACAATCAATGAGGTATGACAATTTTTGATAATTATTATTATAATATGTATATATGTTGGTCGCATATGTAACATATTACACAATAAATTGCAAATCAAAATTATATACTGACAAACATGACAAGTTTGGGAATGCACTCACTAAGAAAGTTATACATGCCTCACTTCTAGATGTATTATTTAAACTATATGTATTTATTAAAATATCATTTGTTACTCACAATCACAAATACTAATAACGTACATTTTTTTTTGTAGTTGAATGGTGGATCAATTATAGTGAAAAAGCTCTCCATCTACAAGAAATTGCAGTCAAAGTTTTAAGTGAAACATGTTCATCATTAGGGATGATAATGGACCGAAGCGGGGGTCGGGGGTGTAGTCTCCATCCTCATACCCGCTTAAAAAAATTTCATCCATCTCCGATTCACCCTCGTTAACGGATATAATTTTTATCTCCACTCCTGTCCGCGGGTAAATTTGTAATCCCCGCCCCTGCCCCGTCCCCCGCCTTCACCTCCACCCCCACCCCCACCCCCGCCCACCTTACTCTCCCAAGCCTAAGTCAATAAAATCCAAAATTCTAAAAAAGTCTAATATTCTAAATAATCTAAAATAATTATAGAATATCATAACATAATTAAAAGTATGTCATTTACAACATAATATAATTAAAATCTTGTCAACAACATAATCCAACATAATAGTTTATCTCTCTTGTAAATTCAACACAATATCATGCAACACACCATAATGTAACATAACATAATCTAACATATAAAAATATAAAAATCTACGCTCTTACATGCCAAAACCATAAAAAAAAATTAAAAAACAAAACAATTTTCAAAAAAAAAAAATCATTCAATAATATGTAAATTTGTATATATATATATATATATGAAATAATAATAATAATAATAATAACGGATAAAGCGGGGCAGGGCGGGGTTAAGTGTCAGTTCATCCCCTTCTTTATTCTTGCACGGGTTTATACGGGTATTCCCTGTATACGCCCACCGTCTAATATGTATGGTTCATCTCCGGTCCAAACGAGACAAGTTTAGACGAATACCCATTTTTATCCAGTCCACTGTTATCCCTATTCACCATCAGGGTGTGAAAAAAATTAGAGTACATGGTCGCTAATTTATATAAAACTTCACAACTGATTGGCAAGGAAGAAGCTACATAAGTTAGTTTTTGTGCATTACAATATGCGGTTACGAGTTAAAAATTTGATGTATCAGTGCAAAAATAATGATTTTGATAATACCATTGATCTGAACTACATTTTTAATAAAGATCGAGAAAGTAAACAAAGTAAGTTATCAAGAATATATATAAAATAAAGATCAAAATAGTAAAATTAATGACATTGTTCAACAATGTTCGAATACATTCAAATTATCACATCATAATTTGTAAATTATGCACTCAAATTGTCATCGAGTCCTTCGTAGATAGCATCTTGATCTAGAAACAAAATAATGCACATATGATTGATTTTTTTGCTTTTGGCTAATAACAAAGTCAAGAAGAAGAAAGATATAAAAATATGGACAAAATCCAAAAAATGACATGAAAACACGAAAACTAATCCTGAACACCACTTCAGAAGGATTAGCACATTGAATTGAAATCTTTTTAATGTAAGAAGCCTAAATATCTTCTAATTAGCATTAAAGACAAGATCGAAAAAAGTTCAACATATGCTATAACCTATGGATAACCATCCACTTGTGAGAGCAATGACATGGTCCATAGTTCAGGGTCCATTGCTAATCTTAGTGGATATGATTAGAATTTTTATTTAAAACTTACGGATTTTTATGGCAAATGATTAAGTTTAACAATAGAACTTGATGGTGCAAATCAATGGCGAAACAGTTTTGTGGTAATGAGTCAATGGGATAAGCAATATTCTGATTATTAACGTTTGAGCCATTTGGCTCCAGGGAATGGTGCTTAAGGTTCTCCGAGAATTGAATGATTAACACAGAGAAAATATAGTGGTTCACCGACTAGGGAGCTCGGCTAATCCACTCTTCAATGGAGGTTATGACTTCTTTTTTTTAATTGATCATACCAAAGGTTTACAGAATAGGTTTTTGGTCATCCGGTCCCCCATTTTGATGGGGGTGTTACATGGTATTTATAAGGGTGACCCTTAATCTATGGGATCTAATCTGTGATCCTCACCATCTATCCGAGGAATTCTCATTGATCTTAGGAGAATATCTTGGTTGGTTGAGGATTTTGTGCCTTGAGTGTTTCTTCAAACCGCCAGTAGAGTTCTTTGTAGTATCCAATTGCTTCCTCATTGCTTCAATTTATTATCTCGCTTGAGAGGAGTTCTATCTCTGATTTTCTGAGCTCTACATAGCTCTGACTTTCTGAGCTCAGCATACCAGACCTCCATGTTTGACCTCCGTTCCCGAGCTCCTGCTTGGGAATCATCCTGAGTATCATCAATTGCCCCCCAACTCTTGACCGAGCTGGCTTGGGCAAGGGCTGAACTTAGGATGTAATAGTAATAGCTTCTCAATCAGCGACTTCAAATGTGCCCTAGCTGTGCGTTTTTACTTTAGTCTTCCTTTGTTCCCCTTGCTTTAAGAAGTGTTAAGCTCTTCCTGAAGCAAGAATGCTTTGGGAGTTTCATACTTGAGCTTATTGGATGAGAGTAAGTGGTAAATCTCATCACCAGCTGTTCCCTGCATTATCACTTCTACCAAAGAAGGTTCCATAACTTCTATTCAAGCAGTTTATATACCTGCAGATGATTTGACCGACTCTGCCCCTGCTACGACATTTGCACATTTAGGTGTTACTACCGTACTATCAAGAGGATTAGCTGCCAAAGGTATCTATCCAGCAGTAGATCCTTTAGATTCAACGTCAACTATGCTAAAACCTCGGATCGTTGGTGAGGAACATTATGAAACTGCGCAAAAGGTTAAGCAAACTTTGCAACGTTACAAAGAACTTCAGGATATTATAGCTATCCTTGGGTTGGACGAATTATCCGAAGAGGATCGTTTAACCGTAGCAAGAGCGCGAAAAATTCATGCTGGCTTTGGCGATTCTGTAGGTTTATGCAGCCGAGCTTAGGTTGTGGTGAACTAAAAGGCATGGAGCTTAAAGCGATCTTATTCTTGAAGGCTTAGGGGTGTCTGGCACAGCTTTATCTTTAGTGGGAATAAGGCTGCCGAGTTCAATTCTGGACTTGGGAAATGTCTGAATTTTTCAGGATGTTGGACTTGTAGACCTCATGGTTATGCAACTTCTTCTGAAAGAGTTTTTTTTCTTAAACTCCCCACCATAGGTGGCCGAGCTCGTTGTGATGAACTTAGGAGTTCATCGAGAGCTACTGAGCTCATTTTTATGAACTTAAGGGTTTATCGTGAGTTTCTGAGCTCATTCCTATGAACTTAGGAGTTTATTGTGAGCTACTGAACTCGTTCTCATAAACTTAGGAGTTCATCGTGAGTTATTGAACTCATTTTTTTGAGCTTAAGAGTTCATTGTGAGCTTCTGAGCTCGTTTTCATGAACTTAAGAGTTCATCGTGAGCTATTGAGCTCGTTTTCATGAACTTAGGAGTTCATCTTGAGTTACTGAGCTCGTTTTCATGAACTTAAGAGTTCATCGTGAGCTATTGAACTCATTTTTATGAACTTAAGAGTTCATCGTGAGCTATTGAGCTCCTTTCATGAACTTAGGAGTTCATCGTGAGCTACTGAGCTCGTTTTCATGAACTTAAGAGTTCATCGTGAGCTACTGGGCTCATTTTAATGAACTTAAGAGTTCATCGTGAGCTATTGAACTCATTTTTATGAACTTAAGAGTTCATGGTGAGGTTTTGAGCTCGTTTTCATGAACTTAAGAGTTCATCGTGAGCTATTGAGCTCGTTTCCATGAACTTATGAGTTCATCGTGAGCTATTGAACTCATTTTTATGAACTTAAGAGTTCATCGTGAGCTTCTAAGCTTGTTTTCATGAACTTAAGAGTTCATCGTGAGCTATTGAGCTCGTTTCCATGAAGTTAGGAGTTCGTCGTGAGCTCCAAGACTCTTATTACGAACTAATGAGTTCGTCGTGAGTTCTAGATCTTTTTTTATGAATTAACGAGTTCATCGTGAGCTCTAAGACTCTTATTACGGACTAATGAGTTCGTCGTGAGCTCTAGGGCTCTTATTACGAACTAATGAGTTCGTCGTGAGCTCCCAAGCTCTTCGTAAGAGTGAATGAACCACAAACTTGTTGTTTATTAATAATCATATTACAGGACAAACTTACTGAAGAAATTTCCTAAGATGTTCTGTATTTCAGGAGTAGGGTAAAATTTTCGTCGGGTCTGCTTTCATTTGGGGTGGCCACGTCAGGAATTTTTTGTTTTGTACCTCATACAAAATTTGCGATATTGTTGCAGTGAGTGGAAGGACCTACCGAGGTGCTTTACCTCGACTGCAACTCTGGATAAGGTGGTCCTAAGCGATCTTTGACGTCTCCCCTTTTTTTGGGGGATCGATCTCTGTCTCTCCTTGGGGACCTATCTCGTCATCTTTCTCTTCTGGGACTTCGGTCCCTCTTTTTCTCTTCTTTCCCTTTGTCTTTTTGCATGGATGAGCTTCCCACTTTTGAGAGGAGAGCTTCTTCGCCATTTATGTACTTTTCTGCCCTAGCCAATACTTCGACCATGCTGGCTTGGGGATTTTTCGAAATAGAGAACATCAGGTCTTTAGATTGTACGCCTAAACCAACTATGAATGCAGTAATGAAAAATTTTTCATCTGGGACATCCACTTTTAATGATTCAAAGTTGAACCTCTGAACATAGGATCTGAGGTTCTCTTGGGGTCCCTGCTTCACATTCAACAGGTGGTAACTCGGCTTTTTGTACGTTCGAGCTCCTATGAAGTGAGATACAAAGGATGTAAATAGCTCCTTATAGGAGGAAATTGAGGTAGGGGGGAGCCTATTGAACCACGTCAAGGCTGAGCCTTTCAGTGTGATGGCAAAGGCTCTGCAGCGCACTAGATCCTGGTACCCATGCAACTCCATCTGGTTCTTGTAAGTGTTGAGGTGATTTACGGGATCCTTTGTTCCATTAAAAGCCTCTATATACGGTACTCTGAATTTCAGAGGGAGGGGAAAATGCAGCACGCTAGTGGTGAACGGAGATTCAGTCTGTTGTACCAAGGCATCCATCGTAACTGGAGTCTTGCCTCTCACGGCTTCCTTCATGTGACTGAGTTCTTGCTGGATACTCTGGAAGCGCTGCTCCTAGTATCGTTCTCTCCTTTCTTGTTGATAGGGGAAAAAATCGTTCCACTCGCTCCCGTCATTCCGACTTTGTACTTCTTCGTTATGTCCATTCCTGGGGGGTATGCGAGGTTCTGGCCCCATAGTTTGGCTGTTTTTTCTTTCTTCATTGACTTCTCTGAGGGGGTCGAGGTGTGGTTGCTCTCTAGGTGGTGGGTTGTTCTGGCCTTTTTGAGCCTGTCGCGCCTCCTATGGGGTTGTAAAAGCTTTAAGAGTTCTTTGTTTTGTTTCAGCAAGCGTTGATTGATGAGGCGAAGGGCCTCCATCTCGTTATTCATGGGGAGACCCCCCACGGGTGGATTGGTCTCTTGGATGTTCTCAATTTGTCTGCTATTAGTAGTTTCTTGTTGATCTTGAATCCGTGGTGAATTTGTCTGACTTTGCCTTATGTTTCGTGTTGATACCATCAGTCACTGAAATATCAGTTTATTTATAACAGGAATAGTCGTTGCCCATAGACGGCGCCAAACTGATGGTGCAAATCAATGGCGAAACAGTTTTGTGGTAATGAGTCAACGGGATAAGCAATATTCTAATTATTACCGTTTGAGCCACTTGGCTCTAGGGAATGGTGCTTAAGGTTCTCCGAGAATTAAAGGATTAACAGAGAGGAAATATAGTGGTTCATCGATTAGGGAGCTCGGCTAATCCACTCTTCAATGGAGGCTATGACTCCTTTTTCTTTATTGATCATACCAAAGGTTTACAAAATAGGTTTTTGGTCATTCAGTCCCTCCCTTCTGATGGGGGCGTTACATGGTATTTATAGGGGTGACTCTTAATCTATAGGATCTGATCCGTGATCCTCGCCATCTATCCGAGGAATTCTCCATGATCTTAGGAGAGTATCTTGGTTGGTTGAGAATTTTGTGTCTTGAGTGTTACTTCAAACCGCCTATAGAGTTCTTTGTAGTATCCAATTTGCTTCCTCATTGCTTCAATTTATTATCTCGCTTGAGAGGATCTCTAGCTCTGATTTTGTGAGCTCTGCATAATTCTAAGTTTTTGAACTCAACATACCTAATCTCCATGTTTGACCTCTGTTCTCGAGTTTCTGCCCGAAAATCATTTTGAGTATCATAAGAACTAACAGCAATGATAACAATCAAATCAACAGGAATAAAAATTGAATAGGAACTAAGCAATATGCAATTTAAAAATGAGTACGAAATCATAGATAAGGGAACGAATAAAATAATAGATAAAACATGAAATCATAACATAACATCAAGCACCGAAGTGTTCATAGCTATCTTTGATATTAAGCACATATTTAAATGTGAAAACCATGTCATTATCCCTTCGTATGGAAAGATATTTTAACAAGCATGGAGCTCCTCCGGTCATCTGAATAAATATTTCTCTTTTTGCTGCACCAGTTACCCATTAGAATTTAGGCTCCATACATGGTGTATGGTAAGTTTAAAAACTAACACAAAAATAAAATACACGGTGTTGGATAACATTGAATGTCAACATGAGAATATAATGTTTGATGTGAGAATGTAAGCTAGGGAACAAATCTTCCTTCGACATCAATATCTTAACCAACGTTTGTGCTTATTGTTTCTCCACCCAAATGAAATTTGTAGTAATTTGAGATATTTGTCTTGGAATTTGATATGAATTTTGGTTATTACATCATGCCTTTTGTGGCAGTAGTACTTCAAACAGCTCACAGATGACAGAGAAACCCTCAACCAAGAAGACCAATACCAGACACAGAAAATACCAAAAAAGCCATGTTTGAGAAGTCATTGACTCCAAGCAATGTGGGTAAGCTCAACCGGCTTGTCATACCCAAACAAGAAAGGCAATGGGCCAACACATAAGCATAGATCAAATCTAAATTTTCTAAGAGATATTTTATCAAGCAGATTATAGGAATGAACAATCCATTAACTAGGGTTCCCAAAAGAGTAAATTAAGAAATGAATAGAGAAGAGAGGCAAATCTATCAAATATACTCCAGAAGAATGAAGACCGAAGAGAGAACAGTGTTGTCACGGTTGTCGGTGATCACCTAACTCTCCGGCATCGTCATCGATGGTTGCCAAAGTGGAAGATATCCTTCAGTCGTTCACATCAGAAGGTATGGAGAGAGCTGCGATGGTGAGGAAGAAAAAAATAAAGATAAAAAGTGATTGACAGTAGTGATTTTAGATAAGTAAAAACCTTATTTTTTAACTTTTATTTTTGGATTTATTTAAGTAGTAAAATGATTTTAACATTTTTAAAATTACTTTTAATAAGTAATCTCAAACACTATTTTTTTTTTTTTTGATTGAAAATTCTTTTGCTAAGTCAAAAGGCCAAAAAATACCCTTTTTTTAAGTGAATAACACACCATTCGTAACGCATTGGCTATTGCAAACCCTATATTCAAGCTTGGCTCATCTTCAAACATCAGTCTTCTGATTTAATCAAAGCCCCACATTTAGTGGGCCCAACTATGCCTAGGAAGCAGAGGGCCCAGGCCAACCAACATGAGATTCACCAAAGATACGCTGGAGGTCTCGTGATGTTGAATTCTATCATGCGACAGGATTTATCAACGTAACGTACAAATTTTTTCACGTGACCGGATTCAGGAATAAAACCCACCGACACCCTTGTGTTTATTGTTAATATATATATAATTATTTACTAATAATGATATATATATTAAATAGTGTAACATCATTTACATGTAATAACATAAACATTAGTCTCATTAGATACATATCTATGAGTATGTATATAATCTACATCAAGTACTTATATTATTTGTGCATTAAGATTTGGTA